ACGTAGCCAGGGGGAAGCTTATGAGGCCCCCCCCCCCCCCCGATATCTTCCATTTTGCATGGGTCCTCCTCTCCCCCTCCCCCTCTTACAGCGTTTTGTTATGAGGGGGCCCCCCCTGAAACAAAATCCTGGCTACGTGCCTGACGCATCGACTCCAACTTAATGCGGAGTTGACCCACCCTGTTGATAAATTTAATGCCTGCCAGGTAATTTGTTTTGCATTCAGTTAATATATCAGTATTCAGTTAGGTATCCCAAGTCATTAGTCGTTGAGATGCAGTCTCTCTGCAAGTCAGTCATGTTTAACATTCATAAAACTGCTTGTCAAATAATGGCACTGTCGAGGACATGTACTCGGCTCGAGCAATCGCTGTGCACAAGCTGGTCGTGTGGTTACAGGCAGCAAACATCCCGGTTGGAACGTCCTACCTCGCAATGTAGCTGAAGACTAGGTCAGGGCCCCACTCACAAACGTCTATACTTTGCATCTCTTTTAAGCTAGACCACTTTTGACACTACAAGCCATTGCAGCAAAAACAGTGTGAGACATGATTATAAGCTCGACGTACCATGGCATCCAACTAGAAGGTCACATGGCTTGCAGCTTCTGCCGTGGTTAACTTTAAACTGAGATAGTTTGGAATAATGCTCCCGGTTTTTAGTGTTGCCCGGCACGGTTAACAATTTGGTGATATAGTGCCGCATTGAAAAATCTGCATTCGTGACTGTATCACCTTATGAATGCATACTAGCTATTAAACTCTCCATTCTGCAGAGAAATGAAATGCACTTTGCTTCCAAGTGCAGCTACTTCTGAAACTTCATGGTGTGAAGCACCTTATGGCTGCAAGCTCTGACCGATCTTGTTCTCTGGTCTGCGCAGGCCCATTGCAGGGAGTCACTCCGAGAGCCTCACCAGAGGTTCCTGCCCGTGGTCGTTCTAAATTTTTTTGTTGTAGGTATGCATCCTTTCTGTCTTTCCCTTAATTGTACTCGGGCGTCTTCTTTTCATTGTCGCAGATTTGCCTCAAAATTGGTTCAGCACAAAAATGGATGCTGTACAACTGTATCCCGCATATTTTGTTCAAGATAACTTTTCTTTGCGAAAGTTAGATTTTTTTTTATGAAGGTTAGTCTTTTTTTGTTTTTATTCACAAATTTATTTGAGTTTCCATGGGCAACAACGTTATGCCAAGGGCAAGGACAAGTTCACTGCTCTAACTTTTTCTCAACTGATTGCAAGAAATTTTGTTAATGTCGTGAAACCTCTTTCCAGCACTTGCTGTGCACCATGGAAACAAATTATACATGGGACATACTCTTCTTTAGACTGCTTGTTCATTCTGCAGGTCTGCCTTCTATAGATGTCGTGCTACTGGAGAGCAGGCGAATTCGATTGTTGGTTTTGCCATTGCTTTTTTTTTAGCCGTTGTCTATTTTGACTAGTTAGCTGAAAATAATGATCTAGTACCCTTTAGTCAGTAAAATAGATAGTGTGTGCTGCTGTTAGTGTCAAGTAGAGATGCACGCTTTTTAGGCATTTTGCGCAGAGTGGTACCCATTTTTATTGGTTAGCCTCTTGGTGCGCCAACTAAACTCTTTCTATCGAGACACCTGCCCTTTGCTTTTATTTGGCAGGCTCTGGCAATAAAATAATATAGTGTTATTCCTCGGTGGCTTAAACACCTAAAGAAAGAAGTTTCTCCATGTTTAAATGCAAACTTTTATAAAGGCAAAAATGAATTAAGCCAGTAGCAGACGACACATAGCCTCAGCAGTGCTCCGCGGCAACAGCGTTGCGTCAAAATAGCGGTCGTCTCCTTTTTTCTGCCTTCTCTCTCTTTCCTTCGGCGCTCTCCTCCCTTTCCTCCTCTCTGGCACCTTTGTCACCACACCCACTGGCTAAACTCTCCCACTATACGGCTCTGCATTGCAGTAGTAGGTTTTTTTTATAGTCTTTAGAGTTAAATGTGAATATTTGACAGAAATCTCCCAGGTTGGGGTGAAAGAGGGTTAAATGAATGCATTTGATCATTCGCCTTAATTCGGTACCCATCATTTCAAGGCCTGTGTGGCCTTGTCCTGGGGTGTGTCTATGACTGTGGCTGTGAAGGAGCAGTTTTTTAATAGGTACAAGTACAAAGTATAAAAACAAAAGGATCTATGTGCTGATTATGAAAGAATATGCTAGCCATTCTAATGTAGCTCTGCCAAATACTTGATTGTGATTTGTTTTTATTTCCAGCTACTTGGGTGCCTCAAGATCTGGAGATCCTAGTGGCCACAAGCTTGGACTCAATCTTCTTCTGTGGTCCGGCCAGGACCATGGGGGAGGTAATCCCAGCAACAAGAGCATCACAGTATCTCCCTGCCTGTGACTTTCGATTAGCATCACGACAAGGGAGTCCTCATGCCACCAAGTGTTAGGTATGCTACTCGAAATAAGCATTCTTACCTATTCTTGAAGTGAAACAGCAAAAGCACTACTAAGCCTAAAATGCAAAAAACATTCAAATCTCGGGTTGGATGAAGTTCCAATTACAAAAAGGCGTCTGCAGACATGATTCACATGTGAACTTAAAGCCCACGGATGTAGGTTCGACGGAGTCACAGAAATAACTTCCCGCAGATGGCTTCGCTATAGTGCCATACCCAAACAAATTCTTAAAATAATCATTGTGTTACGTTGGTGTCATTAATCTTATGTACCTACCCCACCCAGCAGTCGGGAGATGTGAAATATAAAAAAAAATGGGAACTTGCACATTGTCAGCTCTGCAAAGATAATATATTGAACCGAGCATAGCACGTTCAACTTAAGAAAGCAATTCAGTGCAGGCCTAGTTTTAAGCTTCACATATTTGTTATTGCCCTTCATAATGAAGTAAAAACTGCTTAAGTTGTGGCCCACTACAGGCTTTCTATTAGTTTAAAAAGTGTTATGGCAGTTTAAACAGCTCGCTCCAAATATTTTCTTGAAATGCATAGGTTTATTATTATGTGGATGTTTGCAGACAGTCATGGTGAGACCAATCTTTAATGCCAAGTGTTCCACTTATTGAGAGTTGGTTGAGTCTGTAAATATTGTAGGTCGGAAATTAAATTTTTATGGTATGCAATGGGCACAATCATCCGTAATGACTAGCTCTACCTAGGGGAACTTTATACGTTTACTACGGCAAGATGGTTTCGCAAAACTAAGTATTTAGTTTATTCAACTCCTGCACTAACCTTATCTCTAGAAACTTTTTATATTCTTTACGATGCTGAGTTAGGATTCTGGAAGTAGTTTTATAGAACTACGCTAGACATTTCCAGTTCATAATTTTTCTTGCAAAGCATTCGAGAGAGCCAAACCCTGTAATATACGGATGGAATTCCAGAATGATGCGACTGGCAGTTTGAAACATTCGGCACTGTAACAGTAACAATGACATGTCACTTGCCTATGTAATGCTCATTGTCGCAGATCAAACTGCTTTTTCCGTCTGCACTCATTTTCAGTGGACTCATTCAGCGAACTCGCACCCGAGACTGCAGCGCTGGGTTCTGCGAAGTAATTTGCATGAATATAGATGCAACAGGTTTCTTTGAGTGTGCGTCTAACACGTATTCTTCATATTGAATCTGCTACTGTATTCATGACCATGTCCTTAATTGTATCCACATTCCAGCTTATTTTTATTTTGACATTTGAGTTTTCTTCAGTACTTTTCTCAACATCTGTGCTTGTCGAGCCGTACTCAAGACCATTAATCTTGTCTTTCACTATTATATTAATATACAGGGGTGGAACGGCTGCGCCATTTGCGCCATTTTGCGCCAGACGCGTTTGTCTGCGCCATCCTGCACCATATCGCGGAAACTGCGCCACTGTCAATTACTTGCGCCATTATGCGCCAGACCTGCAAAACGGGCGCCAAAAATGTCGTACTTTGTTTCGGTTTCGATTTATTATACGCTGGTCGGTTGGCAACGCTGAGTAAGTTTAGCTTGCTTGGCCGGCTTTGGCTTGGCTACAGTCGTTTGTCTGTTCCTTCTTTTTTTTTTTTTTTTTCTTTTTTGTTGATGCTTTCTCCGCAACGCATCACGAGACGGAAGCAACGGAAGCGCGCCGCGCGAAAAAACTCGGTTGTTGGGTCAATCGGGTCCACCTACTACCTTGTGCGACTGGATTTATTCTTCAACTATCGGTGGTTAAATAAGTCGGCCGAGGTCGAGTCGTCAAGCGTCAGATTGACTAAGGCTCTGCAGACCGGGATCCGGACCTCAGCCACTCGAAAACATGAGCAAAAGTAAGTTGTTTTTTCACTACTTCAATGTAGAAGTTGAGATCGCATTCCCGCAAGGTAAATCGTGATTTGATGGAAAGGAAACGCGGCGACGGCAGAGTGTTGGCCATAGTTATCGGTATTATCGGCACACTAAAACTCCCTATGTATGAAGTCTCTTTATCGTCCGATTCGAAACCTTTTCGGCTAGCAGCTCTCACGCGAGCGGTAGACCTGCTCGGCGCACTTTAGCCTTGCTCACTTACACTCCTGTCTTTTGCTGCGAATACGATGGCTCTGTTAATTGCACTGTGCTACTTAGAGATGATCTGAGTTGCACAATAGGACGAGCTCAAATTTTTGATACTTTCCCTGTTCCTCCGCGCGACTGCACGTGCACGTCCGCCGCTGGCGCACGACACGTGGTTCGCGGATACAATGTATGGTGGACATGTGTGGGTTCTGCGGTAAGCAGTTTGCTTCATGTCTACCTACAGGATGCCAGGCCCTACCTAGTCTGTAGTTTGAGCGGCTGAAAGTTTCTGGTTTGGATGTTTTGGTGAAAGAGTGGGTTGTAATTTTTTTATGGTTCGGGTTTTACGCGCTTGCATTTGTAAAACAAATTTGATTCAAAACTGAATAATGTAATCGGTGTCCTGTTGTTCATTTGCGGTCTTTCTTGATGCTAGCACACTGATAAATAGCATTTTATTTTATTTTTTGTTTCAGAGCGGCACACCAAGTTCAATGATAGCGTTCTACACGAGAAGAACGGAAATGGGGACCTAATCGCTGAGTGGTGTAAGAAGAGTGCCAAAGAGTCCGATGGCTTCTGCATTATTTGTAGTACTCCTGTGAACTGCTCTCAGCATGGTATCTCTGCAATCAAGCGCCATGCGTCGTCAAAGAAGCACGTAAGCCATGCCTCAAAGCTTCGAAACTCTGAAGGGAGACTTCGCAAGTCAGGTCTTGTTCAAAGTAGCCTCGACTTTAGTCGATACGAAGCAACAGTTTCTTTGGAAAGCAGCACCGTAAAGGCAGAAACTGTTTTCGCGTTGTCCGTGGTTGCAAGCTCTCTACCGTACACATGGGGGGATACCGCAACAGCCATTTACCCACACATGTTCCCAGACTCCGAAATTGCAAGAAATTTCAGGTGTGGACGGAAGAAATTGTCATACGTCATCTCTGATGGACTTGGTCCATACTTCAAGTCAAAGGTGATCGAGGAGCTTGTGCGGCCGAACGTGTTTTACGCGGTCATGATTGACGAAACGCCCAAACCTGAAGAGAAAGTTCAGCAGCTGGATGTGCTTGTGCGCTTTTACTCGGACACTGCAGGACGCGTCGTCGTGGAGCATCTTCAATCGTTTAACCTTGGCCACGCTACAGCTGACACACTGTTTTTATGTGTCAAAGAAGCACTTCTGGAGCTGCCCAACAGGAACTTGCTGTGCCTCTTCACCGATGGACCCAACGTCATGAAGAGCTTGAAACGAAAAGTCAAAGAAGATCTGAGCCCTCATATGCTTGAGATGAGCGAATGCACGCTTCACAAGGTGCATAATGCATTTGCGGCAGGCCTCCACTCCTTCTCCAGTGACTTGGAGTCCATCGTAGCCGATGTTCACCACTATTTTAAATTCGCAGCGAGAAACGCCGACATGAAGCAAGTGCAAAAGAAGCTAGGGCTTCCTGTGCTCGAGTTTCTAAGACACGTGAACAGCCGTTGGTTGACACTACTGCCTGGACTTGAGCGACTCCTCGACCAGTTCGAAGCGCTGCAGGAGTTCTTCTCCAGAAATAAACCTGTCAGAGCGGCGGCACTAACAAGGCATGAACGCCTTGCAGCTGCATTTTCTGACAAAGCCCTTCGAGCAAAGCTTCTGTTTGTGAAAAATGCAGCAGAGCTGTTCCAGAAGTTCGAGACACTTTTCCAGAGTCAAGAACCACTGCTGCACATTCTGTACGAAGAAATGGTTCTTCTTGTAAAACAAGTACTCGGACGATTTATAAGGCAGGAGTCATTCTCCACACTGACTGGTACTCAGCTTAAAACTCTGGATGTTCACTCGTCGGCGCTGTGGAAGGAAAGACCAGAGGTTGGGCTCGACACAGAGAAAGCATTAAACTCATGGACGGCCTCCGAAAAGAAAAGTCTCTACATCGGTGCCCGTGCGTTCTACATTGCATGTGTCGATTACCTGCTTTCAAGGCTGCCTTTGGACAACAAGATACTTTTCCATCTGAAGTTCTTGAAAGCAAACCATGACTCGTCCACCGTGTCTGTTCGATACATTGCTTGTCAACTCCCACAGGTCATCCCAGCTGGTGATGTGTCTGCCTTGACAGACGAGTGGAATGCCTTAGCATGTGAAACCTGTGACTGGAACTTGACAGAAGACCTAAACACCTACTGGAACAAGGTGTTTTCTTTGAAGAAGGCTGGCTCGAACGAGTGCAAGTATGAAAAGCTTGTGAGGCTGGTTAAAGCTGTCCTGTCCCTTCCCCATGGGAACGCTGACTGCGAGCGTGGTTTCAGCGAGAACAAGTATGCCCTGCAACACCGCAGCTCCATGAGCATAACGAGCGTTTCTAGCCTGCGGCAGACGAAGACCTACCTGAGACGGTATGAGGGGGATGCTACGAAAGTAGAGCTAACCAGACCTCTCTTGAAGTGTGTACGAGATGCTCGAAAACGCTGCATGGAACGTGTGGAGAAGGAACAGGAATCTCTGAAGAGTGCGAAGAGGAGACGGGAAAATGAACCGCATGAGAAGAATGAGCGGATGAAACTCGAGGAAGAGAAGTCTCACCTGCTGAGCAGGATGTCCTCAATGAAGTCTCTCCTAAGTAGCGCCCAAGAACTAATTAATCTTGGAGTCAAAAACAAGGACCTGGGGAAAGTTGAGAGTGGCAATATCCTTCTTGATGAGGCAAACACAGGCTTGCCTAAGGTGCTCAAACGGATTGAGCAAATTGATGCTATTTTAATGAAACCAAAGTAAACAATGTAACTAACATTCAGCGGGATGCTAACCTAGTGCAGTATCACATAACTTTTTTTTGTTTACTAAAGCTAAGTGTGTTCATTTCTAGCTTCAATAAAATATTTAAAATGTTTCTTTACCTCTGCCATGATTCTTGTAAAACATTTTTTGACGGAAGAAAGTTGTTACGACTATGAAATCTTGGCCAGGTGCTATGCAAAGTATCCTTTTTTTATTATAAACTACTAATTGTACTTGGACCTTTGTGAATAATGATAAGTAAACCATGCAAAAAATAACGATGACAAAGGGAGGTTGCAATGCTTTTTAGTTCTCATTAAAGGGTCACCAAGTTCCAAGTTTCGGCATCTGTTGCAATGTTCTTCAACCTAGTTCAACTGATCTCCCATCTCCTGAGGCAAACACTCTTGTTGCTCACTGCTGCTAAGCACAATCGAAATTGCTCCTGACCTTGTCTCTAAGATTCAGGCTGAAGTGCCCCTTACCTGAAAAGAAATCTGATCTGAGCTGCTCCTAACCTGCTCCAAAATGTAGTTTGGGCCGCTCCCAGTCTGCTCCAAAACGCAGTTTCAGCTGCTCCAAAGGCTGCTCCCAAATATATTTCATCAGTTCCACCCCTGATATATAAAACTGTTGATGCCGAGTGAGAATTCAAGGTCCCGAATCTGTCGTGCGAGTTAAATAAGAACCAATAAAAAGCTCTACAAAGGAAATTTTGTTGAAGGAGGCTGTATAAGCATTAAAATAGCACATGCCATGCTAAAAAAAAAATACAAATTCTTGTTAGGTATGCAAGGATGACACTGCTGTTTCTGATGTGTCACAAAAAAAATCAGTGCCATAGAGTGTTCCTTATGGAAGTACAAACTGTCGAATTCAAAGCCCAGAAGTTTTATTCAAGAATGTTCCTCAATACAAATGTATTTAGAGATCTGAGCCACTGACTCATACATGACTATGTGGCGAACATTCATTTTCATGTGCATTATAGTTTACAAGGTCTAGTCTGCATTGATTTATTGCATTCATGCTGAAACTGGGAGGGGTCCTCTGGGTATGAATAAAGATATAAACATTTCTTGAAATCAAAACATTTGAGATTGAACAAAAGGAAGGATCTGAGAACGGTATCTTAGATTCTCTTCTCTTTTTCTTATCTCTAATTTTCACCTTATTTCACCTGATGCATTTAGTTTTTTTAGCGCAGCTCTTAGCACCCGTTTCCGCGTTTCGCGGCGTTGCCCTCGGCGTAACCGCCCAACTAAACTTGGCAGTAAATTGAATTAATGTTGCGGTCATGTGACGTTAATATTTCCGCTAAGTCTAGCTGAGAAACTGAATTTTTTATGGATGACATGACACGGTCATGCAACGTCATTTTCCCCGCTACTTTTAGCGGGAAAACTGCATTTGTGTTGAGGTCATGTGACATCAATTTCCGCGCTAAATTTAGTGGGAAACTTAACCCGCTAAATTTAATGGGGAAATTTTCCCGCTAAATTCAGGGAAATGTCCCGCTAAATGGGAGGGAGCAGAAGAGGAGGAGGGGAGGGGGAGGAGGGGCATACCCTCCCATCCTCCTCTTCAAGATCTTTGCTCTAATTTCACGTTACAGAGAATTGTAAACGTCTCATATTTCATCTCATGCTTATTCAACTTTTGTATTGCAGGTGCACTTGCAGCACAAATCTGGGTTGTGCTGATCCTCTACGCACAAGTTAGGAACTCCTGAGTGGCAAGAGTGGGAGTTTGGTCTGACAGCTCAAGGGACACCATTGTTCAGTATTGAATTTTTAATTATCTTCTTTTGAGCACAGTTAAACTTTGTTGCTTGCAGGTCTTCTAAAAATAAATACCTACAACCAAATTTACCACGTCACAACATTTTGCCTCTGCTCTTAGTGCTCCTGGTGAGCCTCGGATAAGAGCTTACTGGTGTGCAAACATCAAGCTTGTTTGAAACCACTCACTGATGTACACTCGCTGACATCCAGCATTCCAATGAAACGCTGGATGTCCACAGGTCTTTCTTGAACAATGCAAGCGGGAAAGGAACCATACAATCGTATCGTATTGGGGGACATTCTAGAGAGTGTTTCTTTTGTATGTTTTACAGATTTGTTTTAAAAAGCCGTAAAAGCTACATTTATGCGGTCTGTGCACGTGAGTTATATGGCCAGGGCGGCATAGTATAAAAGGCTAATTTGTAATGATCAGTCAGCTTATTACAGAAATGTGCCAGTCTTCTTTCAGAAAACTAGATGGAGGTTCATTCTAGCATACTTTTATCTCGCGAATCTGAATATCCCGTTCGTTTTCCGCAAAGGTATAACTAAACGTGAGAAAACAAAAAAACATCCTACCAATAGTGACATCGTAAGAAGACCTTTCGGCCGCCAAGCGCGTCGCTTAAGGGCCGCTCGTCCAATCTCAAGTTTTGTAGGTGTGTTCTCCCGCATTGGCACCAGTCGTGACACATTTTTCTGCCCTTTTAAAAAATAGCACGTGCGTGCATAGCTTTGATAGGTGCTGAAGATGCATGAGCAAAAATTTCGAAAGCCACTTTTGTGACGTCGCTCTCCAGGGAAGTGCTTTCACAGCGCTTTAAAAATGACTCTATGCAGCCTCGATTCATAAAATTACCAAATAATTTTGATATTTGAGATTCTGGAGGTCATATGAAGAAGATTTAAAAGTGTTTTCTCAAATACAAAACCGCTTCAGCCTCTCTCTAAGTATAGTATGTTCCTGAAATTTTTAATCAGTGAAAATAGACCCATGGTTCCAATTAGAAACTTGCTAAGCATCATCAAAACACACTAAATCAACTTTCTTTGTGAAGATATAAAACAAGAGCAGCATTTTATGGCGTTCTAAAAAAATGGTCAATTTGGACGCGTTTCCAGACTTTGGTTTCTTACCAGAGCGCATCTTTGCACCTGCGGTCCTGCTGCCCGGTGGCCGCAGTGCGAAGCCGCCCCCTCGCCTCCCTCGTAGGATGGAGGGAAGCAAGGCGCACGTGCGTTGCGTGTCTAAGGGGGAACAGGACCTTGGGTGCAGAGATGAGCTCTGATAAGAAACTGAAACCTAGAAACTCGTCCAAATAAAGCGTTTTTACAGAACGCGTAAAAGGCTACCCCTGCATTATATCCTTCTAAACAGAGTTGATTTTGTGGTTTTCAATGACTCAGCAAGTTTCTAACTGAAACCATATTTTCATTTTCACTAATTAAAAAGTTAATTAACAATTGTAAACATAGAAATGAACAATTAACAAATTGTATTTAATTATCTGACTGATTGTTACGATTAGGCCCCTATACTACGTACGCCTGGCCGTATAACTCGCCTGCACAAACCGCATTAATTTAGCTTTCACGACCTTTCTAAACATATATGTAAAGCTTAAAACTAAATCGCCCTGTACAACAGTGAAAAGGCGAAACCAGCATGTTGGAGCCATATGGCTCCAACATGCTGGCGATACCACCGTGCTGGTATCGCCTTTTCGCTGGTATAGGTTGTCCCATATTACGTTATGCATGTATGGTTCCACATGGTTCCGCCATATTCCACTACGCTGGTATAGGATGTCCCATAATACGACATGCTTGTATGGTTCCGCCTACCTGTATCATTCCGCCTTACTCCACTATACTCCATCCGCCGATTCGCTTGTATAGAATGTCCCATATTACGGTTACGCTTGTATGAGCCTTTTCCGCCATCTTTCCATCATCGAAATTTTCCAACAGGGAAACTTGCTTTTCGCAAATTCAGGAAAACGCAATTCACCAAACTCGACTGCTTGCTCTGCCTTGGCCGACGGTAAAGCCGAGCCAGTCAGCGAATCGCTCGCTTGGGCGGCCAGCACATTCAGAGTATGATAGACATGTTTTGTGCATGCCACAACCCTGCCGTTTTTGCAATTACATTCTGCCTGGTTTACAGCCTAAGAGAGAAGACTGAGTGCTCAAAGCATAGGCAAACACGCCTCAGTGAATCGCGCTAGCATTTAGGGGCTTCCAGATTTGCTTATGCCAATTGAATAGATTCACTAAATGGCCATCCTTTTTCAATAACTGATGTTGCTGTAAACTGAGCTTCGATAAAATGGTCCCGTTCTCGAAAACATGCTTCTATGGAATTGTGTTCGATCAACTGTCGTAGACCTCTGCACGAGTGAAACTGAGCAGTAGATGTAGGTGCAGCACATTCTGTGAGCATAAAATAAAGGCACACAGCCAAACAAAGCACCTCAGTGATGCCCAGCAGACCACCAAACAAATAAATATTCAACACGGGGTACTATTCTGTTTCATATCTCCAACATTACCGTCCCGCTTCGGCTCGTCACTATACTTCGTTTCAGCTTCGGTCCAGACGCAGCCAAAGCTACAAGCGCGAGCTCCGGGCTTTCAGCATCCCTGCCAAGCACGCGCGCTCGTGCAGTGCAAGCACTGTTCTGGGCCACATGCCCGCGCTTGTAGCATCGGCTGCGTCTGGACCGAAGCTGAAACGAAGTATAGATTGTTGACAGTTGCCCCGCAAGGATGCTTTCCGGACATGCGGAAACATCTCAACACAAGCGCTATCCACCCCTGCTTAACCACATGTTCTTTACGAACGTAACTCGGCTTCCTAGCGATATTTTAGAACGCCATAAGTTAAAGAATATTTTCAAAACAGTAAAAGCCTATCTTCCAATTGCGCAACATAAACAGAACGGTGCAGGTAGAGCTGCATGGGCACTTTCTACTTGTCCGGTTTCATACAAAATATGATTGTCGTTAGCAAACTTTTAGGTAATGAAAACAGGAAAATGAACAAAAGTGTGTGATGGGTTTGGAAGGGAAAGAAACTTGGACAAAAGGCAAACACAAGCAAATTAGAACAGACGAGACGACCCACCGTGCTAATGCTCTGTACGAACAATCTCAACCTTAAATACTACTTTCTGTACAAATACAAGATACCCACGATATTACGAGATAAAT